ATGCTGCAACTTGAGGCCAGACGCGCGGGGCCAGTTGTGCTTGGAGAGGAGCCTGACTTCTGCAGCGAGGGCCGCCTGCAGGTCGGGGAGCTGGTTATGGTCTGAGCTACGAGGAGGAGGAGAGGGCTTCCTCTCAGCTTCTCTGCAGACAGTGAAAACCACAGCAAAAGGATGGGTTGGAAAACAGCATCAGCTGCTGTCTCTGCTGCTAAAGCCCTTAGACCACCCTGGTTATGGGGTGCACGAGCCCACCAGGAAGGCTCAGGAGATGCCAGATCATAAATTTGAAGTCACACTGCTGTCCGTGCCACAGGGATGGCCAAACAGCCACTTCCAACCCGGCCACTCCTCTGGATGCCTCCCACATACCTGCACCACCCTGCGAGCCATCAGGAGTTCATCCATCTCATCAGATACCAGAGCACATCCTGGATGTTTCTGGGAAGAGAGAAGTCATCAGCTCGCTCTCTCAGGCTTCTTCTGCTGGAAATTTCTGGGAGTTTTCATCACCTGTGCCTACCCACTGTCCACCAAGCACGCTAGGAGACCTGGTTCTCAGTCTGCACAGCTTCAAATTATTCTTTATACACTGTTTTGAATGCTTTGGAGCGCATGTCTGATAAATCCCAGCTCTGTGCCGGTTGCTACCTGAGGCAGAGCCACCACCCCCACAGCCCCACAGCCCAGTGCTGTCCTATACACTGGGCTCTCACAAAAATCATCCTTTTACCTGGCTGGATTTGGCTACTAAATCACACACACACAGGGGCTGTATTTGCGTCCAGCAGGACACCAGCAGCTCAGCTCCTCAGCCTGGTGTCGCCTCTGACGGGGCTGCAAGACCTTCAGTAAATCACTGCACCTCAGTTCCCCGCCCCTGAAAACATGGGAAACCTCTTTTGCAAGACCTCTGGCTGATGGCATTAGATTATTATTAAGAGGAAGAGCCCCGCCACTTCCTGAGCACGTACCAAAGCGAAAAGCAGGCCCCTGCCCCCAGGCTGTTATCAGCCCATCACAGTCTCAGGTCTGACTGCTCAGAACATGTGAAGTATTTAGGAGGGATTATGGCGAATCCTAAATTTTTTAAACAAACTCAAACCCCGAGTCAGTAGACTCCTCTGGTCAATGAGATAATAAACCACTGCTTTGGAAAAGTCCCAGTGATGTCACCACACTTTCCACAGCTTTTCAACCACGGCTTGCACAGAAGGCCACAGTGAAGACATTTCTGATTATATTAAAGAGATGGTAAAGCTAATAAAAAAAGAATAATCTTCCCCACTGAGAGAGGGACAGAAGTACAGCAAACACACAGTGAGCTGTTTCCCATGAACATAAGCTCAGGATCTTCATCTGCTCCCTCACTTCAGGGATATTTTTCCAGCTGGATTTTCTGGGGGGCAAAGCATTTGATCTCAATCGAAGCTGCAGGGAACAGGGTTCTTTGCTCCCCTCAACACCTCTGTAAGAAACCTCTCCCCACAGTGGGAGAGAGAGCACAAGGCCACCAGCTCCACGAGCTCGCTCGTCCACAGAACTGCTCAGTTATCAGCTGCCCTAATTCCACCACAGGCATCTTTACCAGAATGATAAACCACTAAAGCACCAGCCTCCTTCCTCCTTCTCCATCAGAGGAGCCATCACTCACAGATTATCTGATGAGGCCGAGAGCGAGACTGAGAGTGTTTCGCAAACGTGCCCCAAAGCGCCGAGGATGCTCCAGAAACAGGGCTGCCACACAGGGGCAAATCCACCAGCCCTGAGAGGCTCTTCCAGCCCTTCCAGAGCTCACCAATCCAGGGGAGGATGCCCCTGCCTCGAAGCTGAGGTCGGGAGTGTGGTTTGTTAATTTGTTTTAAAGGCAACCCGCTCCTCGAAATGCCCCTGGTACTCCCCACTCTCCAGCCTGGCTTACCTGGGATTTCCTCGCTGAGTTAAGGCAGCCAGCCACCAACTCGGCATCTTGCCTAAAGATTAGTCTTAAAAGTGGAATTTGCAGCAGGCGAGACAGCCCTCACTCCCAGCCCCACCACTGCAGCCTGACCACAGCGAGCCTCGCCAAGGCAGGCCAGCAGTGACCTACATACAGCAGCCTCTCCAGAAATTAAAAGCCTAATTCTGCCTAATAATAAATCACACCGAGGTGCAAGGAAGAAAAGGTGTGAGGAATCACCCAGACCTCACGTTTCAGTTCCATTCATCACTTCTCCACGGGCTTTATGTTCCCACCCTGCAAGCAGATCATCGTGCATCACACAGGGTCAGGTCACGGGTGACTGGGACCATCCGTGGCTGCTTCACAGCAGATGATTCAGGGATGCCACACTTACAGGTATTGCTTGGTATCAAGAAATAAAATGAAATTGAGGGGGTGGGAAACTGAAAAGTTAAAAGTAAAGGAATCTCTCGTTTTCACCGAGGTACTGCACAGAAAGCAGAAGTACCATCCATTAACTCACATACTGCATCATTTTATTTAATGATGCGTCTCTGCCACGGACTATTGCACTGGAAGGAGAAGAAAATTGGCCTCAGTGTTTTCACTGCTGCTAGAACATTGTCTCCAAGCTCTCTTCAGCTTTCCTGGAGCACTAAAAAGTTCTCTTAAGCAAAGTGACTCTCAGCAAAAACCCTTCCCTAAATGCATCTCTCAGTTTGGGAGAAGGAGGTTTAACAATATAATGGTTGTTCGTGATCCAAGAGGAAGCACAACACAACCAGAAGACACCATTAACATCAGGGAGAGACAAAACTGTGTCTCACCCTCCAGTGGAGGATTGCAGTGTTATACAAGACTTTGAAATATTAAACATAAAGAGTTGACGGTCCAAATGGAAAGGTTCACTGCACAACCAAAGCAGGCAGCAGACAGATTTCAGCTGTGGCTCCTGGCGATGGGCCATCAGGATTCTTTTAAGCATCATCTGAAACATGACAACTCGATGCAATCACTTCTGTGGATCCTGCTTTAGGTCATCTTTCCACTCTGATGCAGCCCATGAGTAATTTGGACCCGAATACCTCTCCACAGGTCTCTTGCAGAGACGTCATCCCGCCTGCGTACCAGAGGAGGGGATGAAGTCAGCACACATCATGTCTAGGGCAGTCACCCACACCAAGTTTGGGCTTGGCAGCTCAGTCCAAACAATACAATCGAATAACTCAAGTGTGTAGCTCACACTCACGAGGACAAACCAGGTACCCACTGCCTGGTCTGAGTGCCCAAACTCCCAGCGTAGCAGTTTTTAAGGTGCTGGAAGGAATCACTTACAGTAGCAGCTGTGCTGCTCTTTGAGAAGCCAGGGACACGTCCAACCACTCAGCTGAACTTGTCCCTCCCCGTCAGGGACGTGAGAAGAGGCCGGGGTAGGGGACAGGGAAGACAATCCCTTTTTCTGAAAGAGATTCAGTGTCAAATACGCCTCACCCCCGGAGAGCTGCGCAGATGCTCTGTGTCACCCTCCTACATCACAGCACCAAGTCCTGCACTCCAGGACGCCTTTAACGAGGCCAAGGAATCCACAGGACTTGCGGCAGCAAATCCTGACCCATGCTCTGGCATGGGCAGGGTGAGAGCACCAGTCCTGGGCCCCAACCGCCCTGCCTGGCCTGGGCAGAGGAACTGCCAGCGCTCGGTCTGCTGTGCCATCCTTCCCCTTTTCGGGGCTGCAAAAGGGAAGTGCTGATATCTGTGCTTTTAAACACATGAGTCAATTTCAGAAGCGAGGAGGAGCCCGTCTGTCAAAATAGAAGAGTATTTCGCTAATTTCCACCCCAATAAGATGACAATACATGTCGCCCCGCAGTACAGCGCTCATGAGGAATGCTGGCGTTTCTGACAGGAAAGTCCAACTTACCATCCAACTGCCCCCCACCCTTAAACCACAGGTGCTCAGCGCTGTCCTGTGCTGACCCCACCACCCCTGGGGCGCAACCTGTGCCTCCAAAGCCCCGTGTTCATTCACTCACTCAGGTTAGGAACCCCAGACACCAACAGGTGGGCACCTCTAAACACAGAAGAGGGGGATGTTACGGGTTTAGGTGGGGTTTTTTCAGCCTTCCCAGTTCTCAGGGTAACGCCAAGGGTTTGAACAGCTCATGTGTGGGCGCAAATTGCAGGGATGCTGGAGAACACGGCGCTCCCGCTGAGCAGACTGCCTGTACCCGCGTCACCCAGCGCGTCGTGAATCCATTCAAACTTCCCAAAGTCTCTCCTGCAGAGAGACACGCTCTTCTCTTTCCTCAAAAAAAAACCTCGTGTGAAAACGAGGAGAGGGTCGCATCACCTAAAACACAGCTTTTCAGCCACCGTTTGCCAGTGTCTTTCAAAGAGAAGAAAGTTAGGGGCAAGGGGCAACATCGTAGCGCTGAAATACTCCCTGTGTGAAACGGGACGGCAGTCACTCGGTGTTACAGCCAGGAGAGACCTGCCATCAAACGGGGACAGAGAGCAGCTCCTGTGCTTACAGGACACGCCATGAACAGCCCCACGGAGGGAACCCCAGTTCCACGACGCAGACCCCACATTTCCAGACGCGGACCCGAGCTGAGCATCCCACGGCGGGGATTCCAGCCAGGCCACGGGCTCCCCTCCACTCCAGACCCCCGCCACACCTCTCCCTGTCGCGCCAACCAAGGTGTCATTTCGCTTCGTTTTTTTTCCACACTAGAAAAGCTGGAAAGCCACTTCTCGCTGCTCGCAATAGTGGGGCGGGGGATGGGGTTGGGGGGGGGGAGGAAGGAGGGAGGAAAAGATGAGATTAAAGCGCGGCCGGAGGGGCGGGCGGCAGCTCATTGTCCGAGCGGCCCCCCCGGGACCCCCTTTCCCCGCAGCAGATCCCTTCCATCACTGTCCCCGGGCCCCTCCCGGCCGAGCGCCCGCCCGGTCCCCGCGTCCCTCCCCATCCCCGGCGCGCCGGGACCGTGTGTGTGTGTGTGTGTGTGTTGGGGAAAAAAAAAAAAAAAAGGGGGGTGGTGGGGGGGGTTTCCCTCCGCACCTTGAGCGCGAACTTCTCGCCGCTCTTCTTGCTGAAGATCTCCAAAACTTTCCCGTTGATGCCGAGCCCCAGCACTTGCGTGGTGACCTTGTAGTCGTCCGTGATGGCATTCTTCCGGATCTGCAGGCCGCCCTTCCCCGGCAGGAACGGCGGCGGCGGCGGCGGCGGCGGCCCGTGCTGGGGAGCGGCGGGCGGCGGCGGCGGCGGCGGCTGAGGCGGCGGCGGGCTGGGGAAGCCGGCGGGCGGCGGCGGCGGCGCCCCGGAGAGCATGGCGGGCACGGCGGGGGCTACGGCGGGGCTACCCCGCTGGCGGCGGGAGGGCGGCGGGGCCCCGCGGGCCGCGCGGGACGGGCCGGGGGATGCGGGGGGTGAAGCAGCAGCAGCAGCAGCAGCGCTGCCGCCACCGCCGCCGCCGCCTCCCCCCGCCGGTGCGCCCCGGCCCCGGCAAGAGCGATGGCTCCGGTGCGGCGGCGGCTCCTCCTCCTCCTCCTCCCTCCTCCTCCTCCGCCGCCGCCGCCTCCTCCTCCCCGCCGGGCCGGCTCTGATGTCAGCGCCCCGGCCGCCGGGGGAGGGACGGGGCGGGGCGGCCCCCGGGGCTGAGCCTGCGCCCGCCCGGCCGGCCCCGCTGCAGCCCGCGGGGCGCCCCTCGGGGTGGGGTTTGTCCCGAGGGTGCGGGAGAGATCCCCCCCGGTCTCGCCGCCGCCTGTGCTCCCCCGCCACCGGAGCCCGCGGGGGGATGGCAACAGGTCGCGGTGTTTCCCGTCCTCCCCCACCCTCTCTCTCCGCTGACAATAGGAATCACGGAATATGCCGAGTTGGAAGGGAATCGCGTGGATCATCGAGCCCAACCCTTAGCCCTGCGCAGGGACCATCCGCAAGGGCCACACCATGTGTCTGAGAATACCATCCAAAATCTCCCTGGGCTCTGTCAGCCTTGCTGCTGTGCCCACTGCCCTGCGGAGCCTGCTCAGTGCCCAAACACCCTCAGGGGGAAGAACCTTTTCCTGAGATCCAACCTAAAACTACCCTGGCACAACTTTAGACCATTCCCTGGGTCCTGTCCCTGGTGTCCACAGAGCTGAGCTCATTGCCTGCCCCTCCTCTGCCCCTCCCGAGGGAATTGTAACTGCAATGAGGTCTCCCCTCAGTCTTCTCCAGCTGGACAGCCCAAGTGTTCTCAGCTGCTCCTCAAAGCCCTTCCCCATCTTTGTTGCCCTTCTTTGTACACTGTCAAAGAGTTTAATACCTTTCTTATATTATGGCCAAAACTGCCACAATATGCAAGGTGAAGAAAGATGAGTAGGTTTAGATTGGATTTTAGGAAGAAATTCTCCTCTCTGAGGGGGCAGTGAGTTCCTGGAACAGGTTGCCCAGAGAAGCTGTGGCTGCTCCATCCCTGGAAGTGTCCCAGGCCAGGTTGGACAGGGCTTGGAGCAACCTGGGACAGTGGAAGGTGTCCCTGTCTTCCCACTGCCCCGAGAGCATTCCCGAGGTGACAAAGGGCCACTCCAACAAGTGGGCAACTGCTGGTGCCCCAATGCCTTCATCAACAACCACATCCCAGGAAGATGAGAGCTGTAACCACTGCCACAGCACACAGAGCATCAGGGGATGGGAAACCAGACCAAAAAGAGTAGAGGCCATCCTGATGGTAGCAAATTAACTCCCATGTTTGTTCCAGAATCCAATAAAAACAAGGCTAATAGAGAAGAGATCCGCTCCTGAACTGCCCAACACCCAGCAAAATCCAATGAACATTCCTTCACCTGGAGCACAGCGGGAAATCAAGACTTTGAATTCACAGACACAAAAAGCCCAGCCTACTCACCACTGATAATCCCTGTTTTCTAAGTAAAGAACATGTGTTTTTTGACATCCATCCCTCTTACCCAGCTGTCCCACAAAAAGCAGGGAGTGTGCCCTGGGGAAGAGATGAAGGAACATGCCCAGAGCCATTCCAGGAGCCAAAGGCACAGCCTGGAGCAATCTCCCGAGGCCCAGGCACTGCTTCTGGGCAGCCACAGACAGAAGCCCACCCTGTGTGGCACTGCCAAGAGACTGACATGCCACCAGGACAGCGATGGGGACACGCTCACAGGCTCTGGAGTGTGTCCACAGGGCTGGGATGTGACAAACAGCCCCAGCCTCAAGTCACCTCAAGCCACCAGTCTCTCTGTGAACCATGAGGGGCTCTGGAAGCCCCTCAGAGATGCACTGCTGGAGGGTCCTGCTCAGAAACCACCCTCTCCATCTGCACTGGTGTCAGCAGTTTCACCGGGGCTACAAAGACAGAGCGAGCAATGGAAGTGGCTCCTCTTCTATTTCAAATAAGGGAGAGCAACAGCAAAATAAAATGAGTTCAGGAGAGGGAACACCAAGCCCACAGTGCACAAACCCCACGCCAAATCCTCAACAAGCAGCTGCCACCAGAAGAAAGAAGAATCCTGAGCCTGAAAGGGACAGAACAGTGAAGGGCAGGGCGGAGAAGGGCAAGCTGTGACCTCTCTGTCCCTCCACACAGGCGAGGCCACCCCAGAGCAGGAGGCATCTGGTCCTCCTCCGCCACCCCGGCACCTTCTGTGATCAATAAGATCCTCCTGCTATTTTCTTTAATCAGACCAGTAAAGCTGCTCCCACGTTTGCACAGCCAGTTATTAACCCATGACTGATCAATAGCTGGGTGAAGCAGCGGATCCAGCTAATCAAAGCACGTCATTAGCAGCAAGAGACGGAGCGTCTGTCAGGAGGTGGCAGTGACAGTCACCAGATGGGAGAGTGAGTAAACCTACACCAGGCGCTGGCAGCTTTATAAATAAAACTCTTGTCGAGCTCCCAGTGCCTCCCACCACCACGAGTCCTGAATTTCCCTGTGAAACCCAGGGAGCAGTGGAGGCCTTTGCCCACTCCGGTCACATTGCAGTTGTGCAAGAAAATTTTCCTCCTGGGAAAAATGGATTCGTTCCGGGACTTGCAGCATCTCCCAGAATCTGATCCTGCATCCTGAACCCCAGTTAAGGAGGCGTTTTGGGGGTCAGGGTTAGATCCAGTGTAACCCTGTAACAACAGATCAAAGGTGCTTCAAAGCTGCTGCTCTGTGGGGTTTTCCCAGCATTGGCTTCCCCTCACTTGGGCTCGTCTCAGCACGTCTGGGGAAAGGAGCCTTTCAGCCAAGTTTTTCTCCGCAGAGGAATCTGGTCAAAGGAAAATGATTGACCCACTTTGTAGCTGTGTTTCCTTTCGTTTCATTCATATTTGCTTTGTAACCCGACCCTTCAGCTATTTCAAAGATAAACACCAGGACAGAGGAGGCACAGTTTGGGAGCCTCGGGTCCTGGGTTTCCCATGGAATCCTCCTTGGTTACTCACCCGAGGGAAGGGCTGTGCTGGCTCTTCCATCACAGGCAAGGACAGCCTGGGCCCCCCAGGAGCTGGGACACCAGAGCCCCCACTTCCCTCTGCCTGCAAGACTTGGGGGCTGACTCAGGGCCAGAGGTTTCCTGATGTGGTCAGCATGTTGATTATGAATTAATCATGGAATAGTTTGGGTTGGAAGGGACCTTAAAGATTATCCCATTCCACCCCCTGCCATGAGCAGGGACACCTTCCACCAGCCCAGGTTGCTCCAAGTGCCATCCAACCTGGCCTTGGACACTTCTAGGGATGGGGCAGCCACAGCTTCTCTGGGCAACCTATGCCAGGGCCTCCCCACCCTCCCAGGGAACGATTTCCTCCTAACATCCAACCTCAATCTCTCAGTTTAAAACCATCCCCCCTTGCTTGTAGGGAGTTCATACTTACACTGCTCTGTGTCTTGCTTGTTGATAAAGTAAAGCCTTCTCTTAGAAAATCCAGTTTATGCAGACAGATGTCTGCTGTCCAAGTAACATATCATCACGCCTTTTTTCAGTTAAGTGCAACAACAGAATACTCTGCTGAAGTCCTTAAGAAGCAATGGGCCCTTCAGTGTGAATTAAGAAATAAAAGATTTTATTAAAGAAATAATCAGGAGGGGAAGGCAAGAGATGGCCCGGCATGACCATAAATACTTGCTTTACAGTTCTGCGCTTCTCACAGCAAACCTGAACAGTAGAAGCTCGTGGAGCCTCGGCGAGGCAGAAGCACACGGTGATTTCTCCAAAACCATCCAACCTATCCTAAAGACGGGCTGGAGGGGTGCCGGGTCCCTGATTGACGAGGGTGTCAGGTTCCCAGATCGAACGCAGAGCTCATCCCCCCGAGCCGCCACGAGGTGGCCCCCGGATCCCGCGGGACCGCTGAGCCCCCGCACCGCGCGTGGCTGCGGGACAGAGCCCCGCGGCTCCCGGGGGGGCGGACAGCGGGTCTGGGGTCCCCAGCCCTGGGCAGGGTGGCACCCAGATGTGCCCCTTCCCCCCAAAAGGGAACCATCCCGGTGGCTGGTGGCTCTCCCCAAATCACACGTTCCCGGGGGAATGGTGGGAAGCTGCGTCAAAGGAGGGTTAGGTTGGCCGGGAAAAGGTTCTTCCCCAAAAGAGGGTGGTTGGCACTGGACAGGCTCCCCATGGTTTGGTCACGGCCCCAAGGCTGCCAGAGCTCCAGGAGGGTTTGGATACAACGCTCTCAGGCACAGGGTGGGATTTTGGGGGCTGTCCTGTGTGACTGCCACTGCTCAGCCATGAGATGATTCATCCGGATGTGAATGGGAACTGATTTTTCCCTCCTTCCACTCCCATTTCCATTAGGGATGGCAGCAGGCTCAGCCTTTACATCCCCACGACACAAGCGGCTGATCTGCGAACGCGCTCCCCATGGCAAGTAATAAACCAGATTGTTATTTGATTATAGCAGAGTTACCAGGAAAAATAGACTATGAAGATGAGGGTAATGATCATTAAGGCTGTGTGCATCCTGTTCTTCTCCCTGGGTGGATCTGTGGGAGCACAAGGCTGGTGAAAAGCTATCCCACATAAAAAATGATAATACCTTTAAATAACCCTGCGTGCTTTTAGGAGAGGGGTAATAGAATTGAAAAGATGTTGTTAATCACCATTAGAGCTATTAATGCCATTTGTAAAGCAACAGAAGGATTGGAATAAGGACAGGAGGTAGCTCTGGAAGTCTAGCACTGAGTTTTTTTCCACTGCTCTGGGAGCTCCAGCTCTGCTCCCACCAGCTGCTCCGCTCTCCCAGGAAGCGGCTGCGTCTCAGTGCTTGGAAGTGATCCTTGTGCATGGTTTGCAAATCTATTTATAAAGCACTGTGGGATCCTTCAGGATGAAAGGAGCTATTCT